GTTGTGGGGGGTTACTATGCAGCCGCCAAAAATGTTGTAGGTGGTTGCAAGGGGGTTGCTATATAGTTTAGTTGCTTATAGTTTAGTTGATTTTGTTGCTAGAGTGTTGTGGTGTTTGCCAGGGGGTTTCTGTGCAGCCAATCAAGTATTTTGGGTAGTTGCCAGGGGTTGCTATGCAATCTCTAAAGTGTTGTGGGTGGTTGCCAGGGGGTTGCTATGCAGTTTCTAGAATGTTGTGGATGGTTGCCAGGGGGTTGTTATGCACTTGTTAGGGTATTGTAGGTTGTTGCTAGGGGGTGCTATACAGTCGCTAGAGTGTTGTGAGTGGTCGTTAGTGCTTGTTATGCAGTCGGTAGAGTGTTGTGGTGGTTGCCAGGGGGTTGCTATACAATTTAGTTCCTATAGTGTTGTGGTGGTTGCCATGGGGGGTTTTGTGCAGCCACTCAAGTGTTTAGGTGGTGGCCAGGGGGTTGCTATGCAGTCTCTAGAGTGTTGTGGGTCGTTGCCAGGGGGTTGCTATACAGTTCAGTTGCTAGAGTGTTGTGGGTGGTTACTAGGTGGAGAATCAGCAAAATTCTCCAGTTGCTCTTCGTTTAATCTCAGTGCTAAAATTAAAGTGATCTAATTTGAGACTTTAGTGAAAAAAAAAAAAAGTGAACTACTTTTTAAGGCTAAGAGGCAAATACATTATTGGGAGATTAAGTACCGTACTTCACAAAATGATTTAGTACATTTCCAGCATCTTGCATTGAGGATTTTGTCTTACAGGTGTGACACAACCAAAAGCTCTCAGCTGTTTTGTCCAGTGTTTTACTGACAGATGTGCTCTTGAATGAGTGTGTTATACAAACAGAGATATCAGCTTCCATTCAGAGCGCTATCTGTGACGTAACTGAACCTGAACTGACATCTAAGAGACTCCCAATGGAGGAGAGACCCAGCTTTTAGATTAAGTACATACAGCATACAATGATAATGAATGGTGACTGGAACTGTCAAGATTCAACAATGACAAAATAAGCAGTGTGAACATTTTTGGGTGAACTATTCCTATTCATGTCAAAGTGTGTGTGCATGTTATGTTCTGTGTGTGGCTTCACAGGTTTGAACACCTGAGGGAAATCCAGACATCATCAGCACAATCTCTCTCAACAGGAACCAGCTGAACATGTTGTAGCCGGTAACATCTGATACGAGCGACAGCGTTCAGGTCATTTAATCCAGAGGAGCCGCTGGCGCTTTACTGCAATGGAAACTCATATGGTTTTATAGCCCCTGTAATTACATAATTGTGCTTTCTTTACCAACCGAACACACGTGCCCTTTGAAAACATTGAAAGGAAGCTGTCTGGGATATTGAACAAGCCGTGTTAGACTTTAATGAGAGTTTATAACATTACAAGCCCTAATTTCACTGGTAGAAGCAGTTTGTTATTGTTTTGGCCAGAAGAGGACAGGTAATGATTTTATTCGTGCCAACGCTTAAATGCAAACACAAACAAAATACAAAAGGTTATCTAGATGCATTTTTATGATGTAGTAACAAGTCCTGGCACTGCTGTATTGTCTTAATATGTAGCCTACTAAAAAGTATGTATGTTGTATGAGCAGGACAAGTAGGGAAACTGGACTCCGAGAACAAAAGACGAGAGAAAGGAGGTCTGGCTATGTGCCTCCAGACATGTCATTTGTATCTCAGTATCTTTAATCTGATCACAGCTCCTGGATAAATGGAAAAGAACAAGTGGATTCATGCTGGAAACAACTCAGAGACACTCTAAACAGATCTGAGAATCTGATTAGGACTGATTTTGGTACAAGAGACCCCAATTGACCATGTAAGTGGTCTTCAGAGACAACTAAATAAAATGCTACAAAAAGTGCTAAATATGACCCTATAAGAGCGATATGAGACACTTACCAGGCTCTGATGCACCTACATCTGGAGAGGGGAAAATATTCTCATTTTTTTTAAATCTGCAAAAAATGTAAGACATTAGAAATTGGAAGATGCTTTTGACACTGAACAATGATTTAGTGTTAGGTTAGGATTAACACTATAAATAGTGATAACAGTGATATTAAAAATAATACAATGGTTTTTTTTCTTGATTTGGGTGGAATATTTTTAACGTTTTCCTTGATTTTACTGGCCGCTTTGCTCCTGGGTCTCTTTGAACTCATGTCTGCTGGTGGAAAAGACAGTAAGAGAGATTTCATTTAGGTTATTGTCTCTATTCCTCTGAAATAGAGTCTATGTGTGCAATAGCATACTATTAACCCTCAAATGGTCCTCATTTAATGTTTACACGTATGGTCTTTGGGGTCAATATGACCCCAAAATTGAAATAGTAATTGTAAAAAATATATACTTTTTTTAATCATACAAATAATATATAATTTTTTTTGTTTACTTCTC